GAAAACTGCTTCAGTTTGCTATGACATCTTTGTAAGAGTATGACAAACCTGTCTTTAAGTAAACATTTGCTGGTTGTGCGTGGGCTCTTGGAAACTCTTAGAAATGGCAAAATTTGACGGTCTTGTGTAGGCATTTTCACCTTGTTTACTCCATTTTCATCAATCTATTCAACGACAGCTTTGCTTTTTTTTGTTTATGAAAAACTCAAGCATCCACAATTTTGAGATACTACTTGTTTAAGCTCAAAATCTTTCTGGTGCGCTTGTAATGTTTTGCCAGTGCTTATCATGGTCAACTTTTTGTCAGTCGCCATGAAAATAGTCATTCTCTACAATTGATAATGTGGAACGAAAACTGCAATACAGGGGGCTTGGGCGCCAAACATTTTTGAATTCATAAGATCGTTTCGATTAGCACAATCTGCAACAGATGAGAGGTTGAATCCTCTCAGCGATGAAGTTTGTTGAGCCTTCTTGTCTTATACGCTCTGGAATCACTCTGCTTGGAATGCTCTGCAATCACTCTGCTTGGAATGCTCTGGAATCACTCTGCTTGGAATGCTCTGGAATCACTCTGCTTGGAATGCACTGGAATCACTCTGCTTGGAATGCTCTGGAATCACTCTGCTTGGAATGCTCTGGAATCACTCTGCTTGGAATGCTGTGGAATCACTCTGCTTGGAATGCTCTGGAATCACTCTGTTTGGAATGTCTGGAATCACTCTGCTTGGAATGCTGTGGAATCACTCTGCTTGGAATGCTCTGGAATCACTCTGCTTGGAATGCTCTGGAATCACTCTGCTTGGAATGCTCTGGAATCACTCTGCTTGGAATGCTGTGGAATCACTCTGCTTGGAATGCTGTGGAATCACTCTGCTTGGAATGCTCTGGAATCACTCTGCTTGGAATGCTCTGGAATCACTCTGCTTGGAATGCAATGAAGTTTGCTGGACATGCCTCTCTGTATGCTAGACATTCTTCTGCTTGGCATGCTTTTCCAATGCTTGGAATTTGTTGAGCATGCTCACCTTATCATTGCTGTTTCCTAGGCCTTTCTTTGCTGCGCATGCTTTTTTAAGACAGGTTCCTATTGGGCATGCTCCTTTAATCATTAGAATTTTATTTGTACCTCGAAAAAGTGCTGCCCCGTGGGGAGTCATCTACTAGATTTCTTAGGGAGTAAAGTTTCAATTCTGGTGAGTTTCTTGATGAACTAGAAACTGGAAAAATACCATTCTTATTTGAAAGTGAAAATACTTTCGTTAAGAAGAACTACATACTTAAATCTGTGTTACCTGCTGTCTCCAAAGTATATAAAATAATCATACAAAATCAAATAATTACCTTTGTGTAACCTATGATTTCCATCTTTGTGGCTTTCGCAAAGGATATAGCATACAACATGCATTAATGGGACTTGTGAGACATGCAGATTTTCTTGACCAAACTGGTTATGCAGAAGGTTTCTTATGGATCATTATTTGTCATTGATTGCCATAATCATGATTTGATTATCGATAAACTCAATGCATTCAGTTTTAGTAGAGGTTGACTTCAGCTCACTCACATTTTAATCAGTAAAAGAAAACAGAGAGTAAACTTAAATGGTTCTTTTATTGAATGGAACGAAACAGCAAAAGATGTACTGCAAGGCTCAGTCTTGAGACCCCTCTTATTTGATTAATTTTGAGATAAAATTTTCTATTTGGTGAATGAGACTTAGATCTGCATTGATGCAGATAATGCGACTAGATCCACTCAACATTATCTAAAGAAATCTACAGTTGCAAAATGTAGAAATTTATTAGACCGAAAATTAGCTGAATCCCAAATTGATGTCTATAATGTTTTTTGAGAAAAAAATCTCATGTAGATTGAGTATTAATGGCAACTTGTTAGTATAGATTTCACACACAAATGTGCGTGGAATAGAAGTAATCAAGTACACTAGACAAAATCTATGGCATTTGTATTTCTAAGCCAACTCCTTCTATCCTTGCCTGTCTCATTTTCTGTCTGTCTCATCATTACCTGTCTCATTTTCTATCTGTCTTAAACATTGCCCAGGAAAGGTCTTTTCCTTCTACTTTTGACATCTTTCTTCTATACTGACACCTAGATTCTTACTTCTTCTCTCAACCTCCTACAGTAACATTTTATCAATGTTTAACAAATCCCCAGTTCCTCGGGATCCCTTTCTACCCTTCCCCCCCCCCCCGTTGCTCTTCGGTAGTAAAGACTTCTTTTCAAGAAAGCTGTATGTCTCTTCTGCAATTATCCCAGTGAGGATTTTCATGCCAATGACAAACATGTTATCGGCCTGTAATGGCTGGGATCGTTTCCTTTAACTGAATCTTTCCGTACCAACGCTGTCTTTCCTTTTGTCATCCATTCTGGCACTTTTCTTTCTTTTAAAAAATTGGCAAGCTTGTGCTTTAAGCTTTAGTGCATACCTGTGCAAAATTGTAAAGTATTCGCACCAGCATCCTTGAACCTTGGTCCGGGTGCTTTCCCATTCGGCAACCTTTCCATTTTCTTCCTAAAATTTTGCAACCACTTTCCCTCTTTGTTATGCTCCACCTTCTTGCTCCAGATTTAAGACCAGAAGTTCCTTGTTTGCTCTGGTTAAGGTGCTTGGCTCTCCTTTTGCTTTCTGCCGCAGTCAACATTCTGGTAGAATTGGTTTTGGTTATTTTGAAACATTCTGTTTTGTTGGTATTGGTTAATTCGACCACTGTACCGTTTAATACTATCACTCTTAGCTGCTATTCTCTGCCTAATTTCTTCCTTTTCAAAGTTACCTAAAGATAAATGCAATGCGGACAAAATTTTTGTTTTTATTATGCTTTGTTGTTAAATTCGAGAATAACTGCCTAGAACACAACTTTCTGCACCTTCAAATTTTCGGAGGATGCTACAGATTAGCCTTCCCAAGCTCTACAAGAGTGCTTATTTTGCTTAGTGGGAAGTAAAATAGAAGAACACAATCATCCTGGATTAACCTGCACCTTTTTCGTTGCTTATTGTTTTGAAAGTCGCTTTCTCTGTTTTTGTTAGACAGCTGTTGGCATCCGCTGAGTTTAATTTGGCTCAAACCGTTTAATTGTTTTAAAGCGACAGTTTTTCGTAGAACCTGCAGTGTGTTTCATCCATATTATAATGATGAGCCATGTTCAAGTTTAATTTGTGGCTCCCTGTTACTACGCGTCTAGAATGCTAATCATTTCAATTTCTTCGCCTTTTCTCATTTTCACGAAGTGCAATTTTTATTGCCTTTAAACCAATCTTACAACAACTAAGAAAGAAACGAAATGAAATATCTAGATGTTTAAAGTAGATATTTAAAAACATATACAATTTAACAATATAGACCGGTACCTTTTAGGGACCGTGCTTTGGCAACTATTGCCTGCTCCACATATAGTCTTCCTGAATTCGAAAATTGTAGAACAATTCCTTATAGAGAACGGGTTTTCATTCCAAACTTTTATACCAGAGGCCAGAGGAGAAAACTTTTTTTTTAAACTTTCAGGCTAGAGTTATGCGATACCGGATTACCTTCGTAGCAGAGTAACTTTAACTCCGAAGTGATATTTGGGGTAGCAGTTACACTAGGACGCTCCGCTCACTCATACGCCTACATTCCTCTGCATTTCTGGTACACAATGCAGCGTGCTTTTGAAAATCCATGCGTAAAATGCACCAGATAAATTATTTGATGATCTTTTCGAAGCTGTGTGCTGTTGTAATTTCGTTTTCAATAACTACTGCATATAATGACAAAAACAACCCTGAAAATTGAGAGATAAGTGATGGGGTTCGTTGGACGAGTAGCCACACAGGTTGTTATCTGATGTGTTTAAGTATGTGTTTAGTCCTAGGGCAACTTCAATGAAATATGGGAAGAGATGAAATCCAAATACGAAAATATTGGGACGATTTCATTGGGAATTGTTTCGAAGCGGATTCGTCCGATTACACTGCAACGCTCCGCTGCGGAGTGACTCCGGAGTGACTTTCCTATCACCTCCAGAGCGGAGTGATTTTCACTACGTTAATCAGAGCGTTGTGTACCGGATTGGTGTGGCGTAGTGTAACTCAAACCCTATCCGATATTAAAGTTACTCCGCTCCGAAAGCAATCCGGTATAACGTAACAGGCACCTCAACCTTGCTTCGGTATATTGACGTTTAGTGGGTTTCCTAATGTGTAAGTTGATACCGGAGATCTTCTTGAAAATCTTCCCTTCTGTCTTGGCGAAGATCATCAGTTATCTTAGAGTCATGCTTATCCTGTTACATATACTTACGCTTGTACTAGACAACTGGCGGTGCAGACCCAGGTATGCGGGTCTTGGAGCGTCGGGGAAATCTGTAGAATCGTTTGTTTTCTAAATACTGCTTGTTCTCAGTTGACACCTGAGTTGAATTTGCACCAAACTCAATTTAATGATCTAGATATTACTGTAGTTGTAGCTCTTAAAGATTGAAGACTGCCTAAACCCCTTCTTTTTGTATGGAAGAAAAATTGAATCTTGCGTATATTGTGGTACTGTTTGGATTAATTATTTCTCTTTCTGTTCTGCTTTTTTTGTTCTGGTTCTGTTTTTGTGATGACGTAATATATAAACAAAGGTTTGATTTTTTCTGATCTTCAAGCGAATTAGACCTTGTGCAGCACGTTGTTGTGCTGCTTAAAAATATTTTAAGAATAATCTTAAGCTCAAAATTAGCAAATCTTAAAAATATTGAGGCTCAGCAAAAAATTTAGATATTCTTATAAAAAAATATGTAAAACAACTGTGTTTTTCTTGGTTTTTCACGATGTAATACTTTCCCTGCAAATTCCTAACGTTTTGCTGAAATCTTTTGCGATTTTGTTCGATGAGTTTTGCTTGTTATGATTACCGTTAAAGAATCCACTTAGAATATAATTTTCGAAAAGAATTTCAGGCCTTGAAATACTTTTTAGATGAATGGATTTACTTTCTTCCACTTTAGGAACATATTGGCTCAGTTGGCGGTAAACTACACACAGGACGCAGCAGGAATGACCAGGTTTGACTGTGTTTTTCAACCATTAGGTTCATTATGTTAGAGATCTGCATTTTTTTTGCATATGCTTCTAACAGATGCATAGAGAATATCACATGCTTCTAACAGATGCATAGAGGCTTGATAGATAGAAGATGTGTATGTGTCCTCTTTTGAATAACATTTTTGTTTTCTTGTACATCACATCTTTCTTTTTGTTCTTAACATAAAATCACAACGCTAATATCTATATTTTATCGTTTGCTGTGCCAGCCATTTTTTCCCAATATTCAGCGCCTCCTTGATTTTACACATCTCATCTTTTCCAAATCTCGTTGATCTGAAAAGAAATTCAAACCATCTGATTTTTTTGTTTTCCCAGACTAAGACTGCACCAAATACTCTATGATGTTTACCTTTATTTTCTTTCGATCTCTCTACTCTTTGTCCGTATAACTACAAAATTATGTCGAAATATGATCAAACTCAAACGAAATATGATCAAGACCATAAGTTAAGAGCAAAGTTTATGAAGGTTTGTTTTCGTTTTCGCATTCAAAGCTTCTCCAATATTCGAGAAAGCAATCTAATTCTGTTACTATTGCTTGGCTAGTTGCAAGCTATCAGAAATTTTTCCTGCGAAACTTTTTCTTCGTTTCATTTTTGCAAAAGGTTCGCTTAAGTAACCAAGCGATCTAATTGAAAGGGCTGCTTTATTGAAGTTCGGTCTTTTCTTCTATAAATTGTATGAAATCACACTACTATTGCTTGACAAGTATTGCATGCAACTCAAAATCTGTCTTAGAAACATAAAATACCTGCTTTCTTCTGATCTTTCCTTCATTGGCCAATTCTCCTTTGGCCTTTAAATTTGATCGTTTGTAGCTTTGTCACATTGAATGTGGCGTGGTGCCAGAATCCCCTCATAACAACTGTATTGGAGAGAAACGTTATAATTTCATCTTCGATGTTATCGTTTTGTAAATTTCAACTGCGAAGCGTATTTTTCTGTCTTCTCTCTCAATTCAGCAGGAGTCGCTAACCTATTTTAATCCAGGCGCACGAGGTCATCGACATAGAATAATTTGGTTTTGCCCACAAGTATTGAATTTCATGGATTTTCTGTTATAGCTCGAGAATAAACCCCAATAGAAATGTTTCTGTTTAAAAATTGACCTGTGCAGCTTTAGCCTTCAGCGTGGCTTGAAAATTCCAATTCCTTCGTCATTTATCCCAAAAGAAGCTGAAACAGACTGTGGAAGATTTGAATCACTTCAGAACAGGCTTTGAAGATTATTTACAGAAAACAACAACAAACTAATGTCGATCGATAGCAGCAAAAAATTCAAGAATTGTCTCCTGGTCTTTAAATGCCTAAAGAAAACATGTATCCACAATAAAAAGAAGTTATGAATACATGTATCAAATCTTTGAATCATAGTTAGAACACTCGACACAACAAATATGCAGTGCAAATCCCGGGAGTTAAAACAGAAGCAGGAAAAAAGGTCCCAAAGTGTACATTGAACTTCCAAGAGCAGCCTTCACCAGTTGGACTCATTTCTTCTTTTTAAACATAAGCAAAAACAATTTTATATTAACGGCTGAAATTGATTTATGCTTGTAAAAGTGAATAGTTTTACCTAACTATCATCCTTTCTTTGTTTGTAACATTTCATTGTAACATATAGCAGTTATAGATACAGGACCCAGATACAGGATACATTTTTATTTAATCATTTATTTATTTATTTATATATTTATTTATTTATTTATTTATTTATTTATTTTATTATTTATTTATTTATTTATTTATTTATTTATTTATTTATTTATTTATTTATTATTTATTTATTTATTTATTTATTTATTTATTTATTTATTTATTTATTTATTTATTTATTTATTTATTTATTTATTTATTTATTTATTTATTTATTTATTTATTTATTTATTTATTTATTATTCATTTATTTGTTTATTTATTTATTTGTTTATTTATTTATTATTTGATAATTATCAGTAATTTGAATTCAAAGATTGGCAGGTGCTTATTTTTTTGTTCTCTGGATGAAGGATAAGCAGTACGCATTAGAATTTGTGCATAAAGTATATCAAAATTTTGAAAACGTTCTGTAGCTCTTGCAATTTGTGTTTCTACTCGTTTTTACTGGTATTGAAGTTAATTTTTTAAAATCCCTATCCTTTATAATAAAAGATGGACACCGCGGTCCTGATGCGTTTTCGGAATGCATATTTTTCAAATCTAGGATGAATTTTTTGAATCATTAGGTCAATACTCGCAGCATTTCGCAAACTGCCTTGTCCAGCCGCCCATTTTCTCGCTAATGTCGAATGTTAAACAGGCTCCATAGTGCTTCAGCTGCCCTTGAAACATCGTTATTCATCCTTGATCAAGTTAATAATTAATTCCTATTTTGAATTAATTATTTTCTGAGACAAGAGATTCTAAAGAAATATGCAAAATCCTTGAATTTTGCGATGGTATTTTATAACTTGCCTTAAATTTCTCCTGAAATTATTACGATGGTATCGTCTTTATAAAAAAGAGCATCTTTGAAATTAATGCCCAGGCTGTTCTTTGCTCATTGTTCATGGGTGGGTATTCTTCGCTACCTGGAAAATGGAATTATTGATTTATTTTGATTTATTTTGATTTATTTTCGAATGTCTTTATTTTTCTATGAAATATCAGACACAAGAATCTCTCATATTTTTTCAAAGTTGAACATTATTAAAGAATTCAGTAAAACATACTAAAAGTGCTTATTTCTATTTGCCATATTTTATTCAGTAACGGTTGAGTCTTAGCAAAAATTATTGAAAGACTGCTTGCAATCTCAGGACGGCAATTTCAGTTCTTTAAAGTTATTTTTCTGAAATCGCTGTTCCGGTACAACCGTATACGGTGAAGTGCCAGTTTGAGGCCGTCACATATTTTTAAACACTCTGCAATGGCTTACAACGTTGTGTATAACCAGAAGTTTATTCACACATCTTGTTACCCCAACCCCCCTCCCCGTTGACCGACCATTCACGATATTTGTGTATATGAACAATGAATTTTGTCGTGAATTTAATATTAAGATGCTTGACAAGAAAGACAAATGTACGTTCATTAGTAGAAAATATCCGTTAAAAACGCCAAAGTTCTTTACAAATGGATTCGTCCTTCTTGAGACGATTAATAAGCATAAAACAAATGTCGCGAAAGAAGAAATTAACAGGTACTTTTCACGTGACATCATAACAACCTAAATAGTTAGTTTTTCAGCCTATTACATTTATTTTACTAAGCTGCTGTTGGAACGGCAGGTGAGGTTTTATCACTCTTCAAAATGGCTTTTGATTTTACATTCCATTCTGAACAGCTCTTGTTCATATTTTTTTGAGAAAGCGATCGAAGGAACTAGCAACAACGTAGAAGAAATCCTTCATTTTGTGTGGGATGTTGGAGTATGCCCTACATAAGGTTATACATAATGTTATATACAACGGCTGTAATTTCCGAAGTCGTTGAATTCGTTATATGCGTAGGGAAAGCATTGCTTTTTTCGGGGGGGAGTGGGAAGAGTTTGTTTCCGAATAGCTGGAACATATGCGCATGTGTTGCTAACATATATTTCTCTAGAATAAGTATTTTAATAACTTGTAAAAATCTTTTTCAGTGTAGAGATAGAGAATCTTCGGAAATCTTCGGACTTCAAGGGTAACCTGTATGCTATGTACTTGTAGGGTAACTTGATATTTGTATGTTTTTTATTATAGGTCTGTTAGATTTAAATTAGGTCATTTGTAGCAAAGCAATAATTGCTTCAGCTTCAAAATACTCAATGACTTAAAACAGACTGATTGCAAGCTGGCCCTTGCAGTGTTCGTTCTTCGCTTCCTCTTCGCCGATTGCGGTTGTTTCAACGCCAGCCGTAAACGTAAGTGTCGATTATCTGCTGCTGAACCCGCTTAGTTTTCAGACGCAAAAAATCGAAATAGTCCTTTTCGCAAATGCCATTTCTCCGTCTGTTGTAGTGTTTAGAACTCTGAAACCTTCTCAGCTCGTAATCGGTTCTTTGCTGGGAATAGTTCACGCTCATTTTTGAAGTACTTTTATCTTTGGTTTTTGCTTCGCCTTTTGATCTTTCTGCTACTTTTGGAAGCCCTTCATCTTTGCACGGAAGCTCAGGTTTGCCTTTTCCGGAAGATCTAAACAATGTTGCAAAAGAAAACTTTATCTTTGCTTTCTCTCGGAAACTCATTTTACGTATAGCGAAGCTTGCAGTCACAAGTCAAAACAGCTTTCTGAGCGTTGCAAATTGTGTGTATGTGGGAAGCCAAAATATTCCGCAACGTGCCCAGTCTGGGTCAGCTGCACATGTATTGAGCTCGAACTGAAAAAGAAGCGGTAGAAGATTTAACTTTACTTGCGTTGTGTTCTTCACCATTGGCTAATCCGAAGCTGCAAGCGATCTGGAAAGCGAAGCTACAAGTGCTTGCTTTAATTTCTCTCCGTATTGTGTGCGATCTCGCTAAACGCCTTGTCCAGCCAACAGATGTTTAAATCTGTCCAGAACTATGCTGTTTTCGAGATTTGTCGCTCGTGTGGAGCTGAAGACCACTTGCTTTCGATGACCAGCTTTTGAAATGATGTAAATTTCACTTGGCTTTCGTTTAAATATTGTGTGGCTAAGTCAGACCACGTGATGTCGAGGGCTTTTTGTGACGGTGGCAGCCGGGTTTGTCCAGGAAAGATGATTCACCTAGATAGCATATGAGATTGTTGCGCGATGCAAAGGCTACGAAGGCAACTGCGCAGTGTCGCAAAACACGTGCGTCCTGTATGCAGAGTTATCCAGATGGCGCTGTTTTTCTCGAATTTCGCTTACAGGTTTCCCACAGAAGTTTATCGCATGCTATTTTCGAAATATTATCGAAAAGTTATCGACTGTAATTTTTTGAGGCATTTGTTTGAAAGCTTGTAGCTTTCATAAATCTCTTATATATAGTTT